ACTTAAGGTTTGATATTTTCTTCCAGGTCTACGCCTCTCAGCGCATGCGTGCTGGCAAAGGTAAAATGAGAAACCGTCGTCGCATCCAGCGTAAAGGGCCATGTATCATCTACAACCAAGACGCAGGAATTGTCAAAGCCTTCAGAAATATTCCAGGTTGGTTTGAGAATAACTTCTAAATGATGGGTGTCTTTTTAGTCCGTCATTCAGCATGCGTTAAACCATAAAGTCAAATATGGTGTAACTTCTTGCATTTTTGGTGGAAGTAATAAATTTGAAACTTTTGATAAATGTTTTTTCCTGTAGGCATCACTCTGCAGAACGTGAACAAACTGAACCTCTTGAGACTCGCTCCTGGTGGTCACGTGGGGCGCTTCTGCATCTGGACAGAGAGTGCTTTCCGCAAGTTGGATGACCTTTATGGCACTTGGCGCAAACCAGCCACCCTTAAAAATGGCTACAAGTGAGTAACAAGGGGGAGCATGCAGACGGCTTTAATTACTTTCACATCAATGATGAGCTTTCACTTCAGGTCCGTGTTTTTGAATCCATGTGATATCCACCGAAGTTCTGAGTTTGAGAAATTCACTTGGAGATGATGTCAGTTTATGTTCTTGAAGAACAATTCACTTAATCGTTGGGTTGTTTTAATTTCAGCCTGCCAATGCACAAGATGACCAACACCGACCTGGGCAGGATTCTCAAGAGTCAGGAGATCCAGAAAGTACTCCGTGCTCCCAGGTAAGAACTGTTAATTTGTCTTTCATGAATGATCAGCTATGATGAGTTTCCACTTCAGGTCCGTGTTTCTGAATCCTGATTATGATGGAAGTCCTGAGCCATACAGTAGTTATTTCTTGAAAGATTGTTATGTACCTGATAGTAACCTGTTACTTGTCATTGCAGTAAGAAGCTCAACCGCAGAGTACTAAAGAAGAACCCTCTGAAGAACCTGAGGATTATGCTCAAACTGAACCCTTATGCCAAGACAGCAAGACGTCATGCCATCCTCAAGCATGACCCCACGGTGAGATGGAATTACCACTTTACCAAAAGATAAAAAAAAAA